AGAAATGCAGCAGCAACAATATGTTGCATGTGTCCCAAGCTGACCTCTTCACTTTACTAGCAAACACCCAAGGGTGTAGGCCTCTGATCTTGACAGTGTCATGTAAAAATTGGGCTGGATGGAATGGCATTTTGCTCAGAGGGGACACTCCCCTGGAAGTCTGGGTGCAACACAAAGCTTACTGTGGGATGCTTATCCCAGGTCCCTGTTCATTTCTTGCATATACAATAGGAATTACAATGGAAGTACATGGAAGTACAATGTTTGGACGCAGGGCTGGGCGACATGCAATAATGTGGCATCTCTGAGAAGTCAGTGTCCTCCAGGTGAGGGTGTATGCATGTTGAGTGCCTCCAAATCGAATTTGAGATACACTCACCCAAGTTCTATTTGTAAGTTGATGATGTGGCACCTCATAAAGGCCATCCCTCAGAAAGTTTTGGTGCATGATTTGCAGTGACTAAAATCTTAAGGCCAGGGGGCCTAAATACCTTCAAAGGCCCCAGATCCTGTCTGATCTTGGTAGCTAAGAAGTGTCAGGTATTGTACGTATTTGCAATGGAGACTACCACTGAATACCAGGTGCTGCAGGCAATATTTCAGAGGAAAACAATGACAAACTAGCTCTGAAGATTCCTTGCCTCAAAAAACCTCAAAATTATGAGACTGCCATAAGTTGATAGGTGACTTGATGTTACAACACATACATTCACATCTTATTCTATGATGTGCACCACTTGTTTTTGTCCATTTTTGAATACATAGTGTGTACTCAGTGTGGCATATGGTTTGAGTATTGAACTACAATTCTGAAGACCAGGGTTCAAATTCCCATTCAGCCATGGAAACCCACTGGATTACCCTGGGCAAGTCACATTCTCTCAGCCTCAGAGGAGGGTAAAGGGAACCCCCTTTAAACAGGAAAACCTTGTGAAAGTTGTGCTTTGGGGTTGTCATGTCGAAAATTACTTAAAGACACAAACAACCGGGCCGGGCTGTGGTGCAGCTAGTTAGTAGCCAGCTACATTAAATTACTACTGTCCGAGATGTCATGAGTCCGAAGCCAGCCCGGGCCAGAGTAAGCTTCTGACCATTAATAATCTAGTTTGCTGTTGACCTATGCAGCCGGAAAGACAGCTGCGTCTGTCAAATAGGAAATTTAGGTACCGCTTTATGCGGGGAGGCTAATTTAACTAATGTACGATGCCATAAAACCTTCCAGCAGCGTGCAGAAAAATGAGGAAGTACTCCATCAAAGGACTCGGTGTCACAAGTGGACGGTGAAGCGGCTGCTCCCCCGTGGCCAGAAACGAGCATACCCTCATGAAGCCGGAAAAGCTGGAATGTTAAATTGCCTCTGTCTGTCTATATATGTTGTATGTCTAAATGGCATTGAATGTTTGTCATGTATATGTGCATTGTAATCCACCCTGAGTCTCCTGCAGGGTGACAAGGGCGGAATATAAATACTGTAAACAAACAAACAAACAAACAAACAAACAAAAAGGGTATTTTTGCAATACTTTCCTCATGTTATATCCATATGAAAAAGCAAAGTTATGATGTTTTACAGTAGACTCTCTTCCTCTGCATAACCATGTGCAGTAGTGTTAATTGCATCCATTAAGAATTGCTGGTCTGGTTCATGAACAGAAGACAGAAGAGCCCATTTGTTGGTCTCCTTCCCCTTTCCCCACCACATTGCACAATATATGTGTGTTGCCTTTCCTCCATTTAGCCAAAAGAATGCAATCTTAGCTAAACAGCTGTGCTAGAAATTATTTTGTAGATGCTAAAAGTGGAAGGAACAAGGAAGAGGGGCCGACCAAGGGCAAGATGGATGAATGGCATCCTTGAAGTGAATGGATTGGCCTTGAAGGAGCTGGGGGTGGTGACGGCTGACAGGGAGCTCTGGCGTGGGCTGGTCCATGAGGTCACGAAGAGTTGGAAATGACTGAACGAATGAACAACAACAACAACAACAACAACAACAACAAAATTATAACATTTAACAATTATTTTTAGATAAATAAAAAGCCTTCTCCTTATAAACTAAGGAAAGGGAAGTTTCCCACAATTTGTTTTGCTTTCTAACCGAAAGCAAATGGCATTTGCAAAATGGAATGCACAAAAAAACAAGACTTTTACACAGGATTAATGCTTGGGCAATATAGAAATACAACCAGGGATTTCATAACATGTGCCATTTTGATTATTTTCAGATGGGTTGATTTTCTTTAAATTGATATTGTGAGCCAAATGGAAAAGTTGCCTTGAGCTCAAAACCCAGCCTAAAAGAAAGTAGTCAGTCAACCAACCAACCAAGCCACCCACCCAGCTACCCATCAACCACTTTCCAAAACCACAGAATCTAAAATGAATGTTGTACATGCTTATTAGTAACATTTGGGGTTTTTAAACTGTCTTATGCATCTATTTATTGCTGTATTTTAATTTGTTATTCCTGTCTCAATCAATAGGGAAAGGCAAGTGTTGTTTTGTTGTTGTTGTTGTTGTTGTTGTTGTTGTTGTTGTTGTTGTTGGGAATCTACTACTTCCCAGGTCCTGACAGTCATTCTTTAGGAAAAATGAAGCACATGATGCCAAGATCAGCACCCAAGAGAGGTCAAATAGAGGAAGTTGGTATGGGCAGGTTTGTGTTGCAGACAGATCTGGCTTTATTTGGTAGGCACTTGAAGGGCAAGAAGTGATAGCATCCATTTTCCAGTGATGGCCCTTCCTCCTGTCTTTCCCTTTTCTGAAGATAAGGGCTCTGGATGGGAAGAGATGGGGCAGCCTTGAAGTAGCCCATTTGTGTGCTGACTGCTATCCCTATGAAGCAAGATATGGCTTCACTGAATCAGGCAAGATGGCAGGGGAATTCTCTCTGTAGCAAAGGCCTCTTTGGGAGCCTGCTTTCCAGACATGGATCTGACATGGAGGGTAACTGAGGCTGACTCTTTCCTTTCCACTACAATGAAATTGAAGGGAAGAAGGCACCAGTGTGACAGAAAGCTGGGCATATGCACAGGAGAGGATTGTTGACGTGAATGTGGTGACAGTAGTAGAAGCACCACTGAAATGGCAGACACACACAGCCCTCCTATTGTAGTGGTGAAGAAAGCAATGCATTTGCCAATCCTGGCCATTTTGTGATGAGGCAGGCACCTCATCGTATCTTATGGCAGGACTGATCCAGATAGGATTGAAGCTCATACTGACCATTATGTAAAAGATTTCCCCCTTTTCACTGTAAACCTATTTTTGTTTACCTCATGGAACCATGAATGGAAAATTTGATCCAGGCCTATTTTCAAGTAGGATAATTACTTTCCCCAAAAGTTTGAGATGAAAAGCTGAGACTAGATTTGTGAATATGCTTGCGAGAGGTAGGCAAATGTGAGGGACACCAGGGCCAATTTTCTCTGTCTCTGAGACCTTTAAGGAATTCACATACTGTAAAAAAATAATTAAAAAAGAAGGAGGGAGACAGAGCCCAAAGTGGCTAGAAGTCCCTTTCAATTTTGAAAAATTACACAGTGTAATAGCATGTATGTGTGCTTTTAGAGGGATGCTTCAAACTATTTAAAAGTTGTTAACACTCTTGGAGGCTTCCAGCAAAGGTATTTATCACCATCACTATCATCATCATCATCATCATCATCATCATCATCATCATCATCATCATCACCATCATCATCTCATGGAAGGGCTGTGCTACGACAAATAAATGATCTCCCCTCCTTTCTTTATTCATCTTAAGGGTAAACTGCCGACAGCAGTTTCAGTAACACAGCAAGAAAGCAGTTATCACACAGTTATTGTGGAAGAGGATGGGTAATTGATTTATTTTGGCAAGACATAGCTTGATTCTCACAAACTTCATGTTGTGCCTTGTCGACAGCAGCGTGGTTCAGGGTATGCAGGGAAAAGAAGGCAGTGAGCCTCTTTTGCAATATATTTTTCCACCTGACTAATGAGAAGCAAACTTATATAGCTGGTTCCACTTCCCGCCTCTTAGGCAAGAGAACTGCATAATGCAGAAAAGCCTGTATGGTAAGCACTTAAAAAAAAAAAAGGAAAACCTAAATGAATAACCTTATTTGAACTCACATGTTTTTTTCTTCTTGCTACAAACTGGTGTGTTTTTAAATGTTCTATTAATATCACTGTTTTAACATGCACTTTGTCACAGTACGTAACATTTAAGATCATGTTGTTACATTTAAGAACATGCCACATGCAATGAATCTTACGCATCCTATCTCTCTGCACTGATCTATTGATTTTTATCTAGTGACTACTGTTTCTTCAATATAAGCAACCTCAATTTCTTGCTTCACTGCCTGTCTGAAACATAGGAGGGCTGGGTGAGTATGGGCCCTTCCACACAGCCCTATATCCCAGAATATCAAGGCAGAAAATCCCACAATATCTGCTTTGAACTGGGTTATCTGAGTCCACACTCAGATAATCTGGGATTTTCTGCCTTGATGTTCTGGGATATAGGGCTGTGTGGAAGAGCCCTAAGATGATCAAACATTCTGTCAGAAACTTCTATGCACGTCCTTCTCTTATTCATGAGTTTTCTGAACTCTCCTCCTCTGTTTTTCTCCCACTTTGGTCACTTCTTCACTCCTTCATCCCCAATGCTCCAAGGCCTGGTTTTTATTCTTAAATCTTAAAACCTAAAATCCCTCTTGTAGCAATACCTTTACAGGGATGCCCAACAACAGTCATTTGATCTGTAATGTGCACCTCAAACACCAAAATTAGGAAAGGTTGAATCTGAACATTCTGCACAGTGCATTTCATGGCAGTGTAATATAGTCACTGGAAGATCAAAAAAGTGTAATTCCCATTTTATCTTTCTTGTAAAGGACTATGCGTACACAATTCAATGTAAACCACAAGTTTTCAGCAAAACAAATCTGCCGTCCTTCAAGATCACAGTCTATGTTTTTTGCAGTATGTCAGGATGACCACACTCAGATACTCACCATTATCAAATACAGTGCCTGCAGTGAAAGAAAGCTCTGAGTCATGTTCTGCTTTACAAGCATACAAAGCTCTGGCTTTGCGAAATGGTGAACTGCGAGGGAAAAAAAATAAAAATATAAAAATAACAATAATAGGCACAGAAACATTTGACAAAACTGCCAGATTGCAAAATAGAGGATTAAAGAATATCAGGTAGAAGAGAAAAATATGACAAGTGTTTTAGATTATTTAGATTGTGTGTATGTATGTGTGGAGGATGGGGGACACTTCCTCCTCTCCAAGTTACATTTCATCACCTCAGAAGTTTTGCTGAGCACAGCACTGAAGCATCTGGGATCAAAGTATGAACATGGTTGCCCAATAGGCTGAGCAACACTAAGTCAGAGGGTGCTGGCCAAATATGCAAAGGTGGGGGAAAGGGAATCATGTCTATATACTCAGCTTTGTGAGATGTTGATAAGAAACTTGAGGCAGACACCTGGTTTCTGGGAGAGGCTGATATAGGCAAAGAAACCTTAAAACTTAGCTGCTTTGTGAATTAACACTGCATCTCTACCATTTTGCTGTGGCTGAATATTGCAAGGGAATAATAAAAGTAATGGACAACATGCCCTGCAAATGAACCGTAATTGAGTGAAAGGAATAGAACAAAAGCAAGATTATTAGAAGGGAAAGCTCTAACACAGCCAAAGGAAACAACTAGCTGGGTAAAGGGAACATTCTTACTGGTTAACTTTCTGTTATTCTTGTAAGCAGGAGAGCATTCAACTTGGTTAAGTTTCACGCCCAGCAAATGGAAAGGAGAGACTAGAAACATCTTTCCTGGAAAGCAAGGTTTCCTCCAAGGCGACTAAGCCATATCACAGGAAGAAACAGGAACTCAAAAACATATCCTAAAGCAGCTTAAAGAGCTCTCCCCTTAAAAAATGAACCACGCCAACATTTCTGCGGAGCACCAAAATAGAAACAAGATCTTTCTGAATGGGATACAGTGCATTTTCTCCCTATTTATTTATTTAAGGTACAATTAAGCTGCCGTTCTGATAACAAAGTGGCATACATACAATTCATGAAATGAAATAGTAAACAGACACACCCATAATAATAAAACATTAAGAGCAGTATCAGAATCTATGCTAACATTCTTAAAAGCCAGGAAGAAGTGCCTTTATAGACTTCCTGAATGTAGAGTGAATACAGACCAGTCATAATTCCAAAAGGAGCAGATTTCAAGAATCCCTTTCCCCATATTTCTGAGAGACAGGGCTTCCATAAAACTGGGTAAATATAACTTTTTATTCTCCCCTTCAGTTTGGTCATAGATTTTTTTTAATTTGCACAAACTCTACTTTTAATACTTATTATTTTTGCCACTTCCCTTTCTTTTGATTAAATTTTGTATGTATCCCTGGTGTGTCCCTTTCCTAAAGTCCTAAACATTTCCAGATAGAACATGGAGCAGAGCTTCTACAGGTGAACTTAAGAAGTTTGTAAGTGACTATGTGAGAAAAGGGCTCTCATATCTGAGACACTATGGAGGGTGGGCTGATGCCATCTTGCATGTAAAAGGCACAGGCATTCCTAATGCATACATTCTCCCTTTCTCTCTTGGTAAGCCAGAAAAAAGTTTGGAATAATATTCCAGAGGTCACAAATGGTTATTGATCCCTATGGATGACTTAACAAAGGTTTTCCTCCATGTATCTTGAGCAAAAGCTGCCATGCAAGGGTCTCCCTATTATTCTAACTGTGTTAATGGTTTCTTCTGCCCTGAATATGAGCTAACAAACCGAACCTTAATCCAAAGAAGAATGAAATACTCTTGAGTGAATATGTGGAAATGTATTTAAGTCAGGTTTCTGAGGCTATCCTTAATGTGGAAACACTCTCACAAAAGGAAGTCAGAAGCATGGAGATGCTGCTGAACCTGTGTTCTAAAACTTTCATCTACAGCCATTAGACCCATGGGATCAGACCTAGCCAAGGTCATGCATTTGCTGGTAATATATAGGCGAGACATCTTTATAGTGTCTTTGTTTAATTCAATGTGTCTGATGAACTTTCAAAGCCAGGGCTGATCTTACCATTAGGCACAGTGAGCTCATTTCAGGCATTAGAGAGGATGTCAGCAAAAGAAGTTGTGGCAATGAAGTGGTGTAAATCTGTACTGTAGGTATGAAAGTCTACCCCATGCTCCCTGTCTTCTCAGATGTAAGGGAGGCTACTGTACCATGGGCATCATTCAAGCAAGAATCACTCAGCACTCCAACAGATTTAAGTACAGTTTATGGGCATTCTTCTAATCTTTGTATTCAGGCAACAGCTATGTCTAATCCATGAGAACACAATATTACAGGGACTATTTTGTCTACCTGAACCTGGCAACACTCTAGGCCTTGGACACTGTTCCCACCTAGCTTGTTTTCCAAGGTTAGTGAAATCTGTAAGCAGAACAGGATATTCTTAGCTTTTCATTCAAGTCCTGTAACTTTTTCTCATCTCTTGTCTCAGCCAGGATTTAGAGGTTTGCCAAATAACTGCTGGTCAGAAAAACATGACACCTGGATTTAGAGTAGAAATTTATGTCAAACGTTGCACCTGGCTAACAGATTAGATCTTAGTAATAAATGTAATACTACCATTACCTTGTCAAGCCATTGCAAGAAAGGCCGCAAATCTTATAGTTTTTGTTAATAAAAACAAACAGAGTAAACATAGAACAAAGATGATTTGCCCCTTGCTCTCTTCAATTGTTCTAGTCTCTTGGTATCTTCACTGAATCGCTTTAAGTCCCTTGTTGGGAGATGGGGCGGGGTATAAATAAAGCTTTGTTATTGAGTCAATAGGAAAAAAATGCCTTTTAATTTAATATGTACCACAAGGGTGTTTCAGTATTGTCCAGTTTGACAGTACCTAGGGTGGACTTGGATCTAGGCTCACCTACTTGCAATACTATCTTTTAATAGAGAGCAGGGACTAGACAAACAGTCTCACAGAAGGAAGAACTCCCTCTGCTGGTTTTAGAGCAACTGGATGTGATGGAATCATAGAGTTGGAAGAGACCCTAAGGGTTATCTATTCCAACTCAATTCGTTCACACAGGAATACATAATTAGCATTCTCAAAAGATGGCTATCCAGCATCTGTTTAAAACCCTCAAGAAAAAGAGATGCCACCACACTCTGAAGCAATGTATTCCATTGTCAAACAACTCTTAATGTTAAAAGGTTATTCCTGACATTAAGAGTTGTTTGACAGAAGGAAACCATTTACTATTTAAATTGTTTCTTATGAACCATTTAAAAGGTTAATGGTTCAGGAAAAAAAGCTAATCATCTCTGGTAGCTGCCTAGAAACCAATCTCCCTCCTTCCTTACTTAAAGTCCTGGAATTTGTTGGGAAGACAGAATGGGAAACTTGCTCACAGTCAAAGATGCTACTTGGCCTAAGAAAAATCTGTCCTCAGTCTAGAGCAGTGGATGTCAAAATAAGTCTTGCACATACTCTTGGTTCTGTTTTAGAAATCTTTTCCTCAGGGATAGGAGAAGGAAGCATGAAACATTCTTCCTCCTCATTGCTTCTGGTTCTTTGGTTCTGTGGCAACTGCTGGTCTCTGGTGTAACATCTCCCAAACCCTTCTGGTTACAAAAGTCAGAATGAGGGATACCACACTTGGATAAATACCTGGAATGGAGGAGAGGTAGCCATCTACTGAACCCATGTTTCCCTTCCAGAAAAGAAAACAAAAACACCAGAATGACCCTGAAGGCTGAAGAACCTTCTTCCCCATCTATGATGGCTGGAGTACTGATCTAGGTCAAGCAGACATTCATGGAAACTCAAATACCCTGAAAATAAAGAGGTACAGAGGTTGTGGCGCCAGCCAATGTACTCAACTCTTTCAATTAATCAGATTAAACTGCAAAAATGTAGATTCTTGGCATTTTCCTGGGATGGACAAACACTTCTGCAGTTCTCTAACATGAGAGGGAGCGCTGGAGTGGTGACTGATTAGTTTTATGGCAAGTTATTCCTGCCAATTTGGAATAGAGAAAGTAGTGAAGAGGCCAACTGTTCTGGCTTTAGAAACAGAGCCCCTCTGCTTTGGGGTTCTGCTTTCCTTTCCTTCTGTGTCCTTTGGGACAGTTCCATGAAGACTTCCCTGCCTTCCATTTCCTAGGAGCATCCAGCTTTCTCCCACCCTACCTTATCTCCTTATGTGGGCTGGCACCACAGCTTCTATTTCCATGTTATTTTAAGGGTATTTGAGTTTCAATGAAGGTCCACTTGAACCAATTCAGTACTCCAACTGTCATACGTTCTTCAACCTCTAGGTTCACTCCAGAGTCTTCTTTTTCGTTTTTGGGTAGGCAACATGGAGTTCTCTAGACAAGGTTCGTCACTGGGAACATAAAGGAATTCATTCTCTCTTCATAAGAGTCAATAAAGCAGTTTAACAAAAAAACTATACCTTAAAGGGGGCATTATGGGTTGGTAATTCAGTTTTTGAAAATATGACTGATTTATTTCCTTTGTTTTCTATGTTGTACTTTATTTGTCCCATCTTTTTTAAAGACATCTTTTGTCTTTTTTCATTTCTTTTTTCATCTTGCAGGTATTTGCATTAGTTCCTTTTTGCACTGACACATTGAAAATTTAGTTTCTGAATTTGAGCTCTTTAGGTTCTTTAAAAATTCTTAAGTAAGAAGTGCTTAAAAAGAAAAAAAAACATCATCTGGGCAGCAGGATAATTGATATCTGAAAATGTGACTCAGGTTTTCTGCATTTCATCCTGATCCAGATCAGGAGATTGACACCAGATACTTGTTAAAGTGCTCCAAATCTCCAGCTGTTAACTTTTAATCAAACAGACCCTCCAGCGGATTAGTGCTTGAAAGAAATAGAAAGCCAATACAATTGCATGATTACATGAAATCAAAACAGTTCTAGCATAGTTTTTTGCATAGTGTGTTATCTGCAATGGGACAATTTTGTCTGATAAGCCAAGGCCATATGAATAGCATGAATGGACTTATAAGAGTGATCTCTCGGAGCCAAATTCCCAGCTTTTCCCAGGTCAAACCAGATGTG